GTTGGAGAAGGCTTGTCTGGCCTTGGGATGGGCTACCAGGAAGCTGCGGCACTACCTGTTAGCTCACTCTGTAATGTTGGTTTCACGTTTGGATCCCTCTAGGGTTTATATCTGGGGATACTTTGGGAGTTTTCTTTGATGTTTTTATTGAGTATTCAACTCATGTTCTAAAGAGAGTACATCAAAGGTTGTGTTTTGTTCTACAAAAGAGAGTGTTGTTCTTCAGTTGTGGATTCTGAAGAATTCGAGCCTGAAGCTTTGGTGGAATCCGGAGTGGCTCATCAGAAAGACAATTCCGTGGTGAAGATGGGGTTGGAAGAGGCACATAGAGGTTGGTTCAATTAGGCGTTGTGGATTCGCTAGGTAATTGAGAGTATACCTGTGTAATTCCTTTAATTCTTTTGAGTGGATTATCTTGTGGCTGTTGCCCGTGATTTTTTGATCACAGTTGGAGGTGTCCAATTGTGGTTTTTTCCACGTTAAATCGTTGTGTCACTTTGTCTTGATTGTTTGATTGGGATTGTTATATTCTGCTTAAAATTGATACATAATCACAAATCAACATATAGGGGATTTCTAGATTTTTCAGTTGGACAAGCTACAACAATGCCCTAACTGAGTAGCTTCGGCAAACAGAACTTTGCAACACTCTCTCACAGGAAGAAAATAATATGAAGTTGGAAAACTTTTGAAGACAAGAAGAGCAGCAATTTCTTGTGTAAAAAGCTGAAGGAGAGGGTCTTCTTTTATACACATGGAGGGAGAGAGGAAGAGGCTCCCCTGCATCAAATTTAGGATTCAATTCTGCAAAACTGATGGGCTTAAGTCCATCATCAATAGAAGAGTTACCAGCTCTATTGTGATGATCGGTTTTACTTTATGTCTCTTCATTTTCATTTTTATCAGGATTGTTGTGTCCGGATGCCTTTCTTTAATTCTCATCTTTGTTTATTTCGGGTTGGCCTTTATTTTGTTTCGGAGGGTGCGTTGCCGAGTCTGGAGTGCCTGAGAGTGAAATAGGGAAGTTCTGGGCTGTTGGGCCAATGCCGCACGTGCAGGGTGGGGCCGTACGTGCGGGGAGTGAGGCCGCACGTGCAGGGAGGGCTGATCTTCAGAAGGTTGCACACTGCTTAAATTGCAGGTGTGGAGGGGAAGTGCGGGAAGAAGGCAGCCGCACGTGCGGGGGCACATGCCGCATGTGCGGGACGGGCCTGAGTCTGAATCTCTGTTTTTTTTTTTGCTCTTTTGGCCGAATTTGTATTACATTTGGGGCTTTTCTATCTCACTCTAAACCTTATTTTTCTCATCCTTCTCTCTAGAAAACCTCCTCAAACACTAAAACTCTTTGATTTTGCAACCCCTTGGATCTAGATTCATCATCATCATCATCGTCATCTCTCTCTCTCAAGCTTTGGAGATTAAAAGCTAGAGCTTCACTTGGTGTGGTGGAAATCAAAGCCCTCTCATCCTTAATCCTAGGGTTTCACTAATATTTTCATCAAGCTTGAGGTAGGGTCTCCTTTGAGTTATATATACGTTTTGCAAGCTTTTTATTGACTTTTTTTTTTTGAGCTCTTCCTTGATTGATTTCCAAAATGGGTTTTGATTTAAGAAATTGGGGATGTTGTAGAAGAAGCTCATCCTTTATTCTTTTTAAGGATCTTTCTTGAAATGTTGGACACATGGGTTGAGATTGAGGTGTATAATGAGGTTTTACAAAAGAGATGGAAAATATTAGGGTTTTTGTGAAAACCTAGAAATTGGAGGTTTCCTTTGAAAAATGTGAGTATTCTATATTGATTTGTTTATAAGTATAATGACCATTTGAAGTATGAGAAATTGGGGACTATATTTGAGTTTGTTAACAAACACTTATACATGCATAATGATGAATTGATCCATTTGTTGAGTCCCATGAATTATGAACATTGAAATCTTTAATGTTCAAGGCTATTGCATAAAGCCTTGCAATGGCTAAGGTATTGCGGATGGTACAAAATGTGAAGGTTGTCATATGTTGTTGCACTTAATTGAACTAGTGGAATTTTGTTGATTTTTATTAAAAGGAGGAAAATGGGTTATGTAGTTGTCATTGTGGCATTGATGAGATACTTAAAAATGGAAGGATGTTATGAAATTTTGAGCATCATTTGCATTATACATTCTTTCAATTGATTACATTGCATCTTAAATTGAGTTGAGAACGTTACATTGAGAAAATAATATTGTGAATGAAAACTATTGAAATGTTATGGGGTAAATACGTTGGTAAGTCCGGTTAGGAGGTGTAGATGAATTTGATAAGTTGGCCTGAGTGTTTGAGATGAAAGACCGAAAACACGTGCGGAGGAGGTACCACTTCCCTTCCGGTTAGCAACTGGTAAGGTGAGGTTATTGGTAGTGCTTGTTGAGCCTACTTGCAGACACCAACCTAGGAATTACCTGAGTCATATTTACCGCCCCTTATGATTAAAATTGGAAGTTTGGAATTTGATAAGATTAAAAATGTTATTGAAAACATGGTGATTTTCAAGAAAGGCATGGCATGTGATTATTTTTGAAATGTCATTTGCATTTGCATTTAATATTGGATACCTTGCATAAATGTATATACTTTGTTAAAGTTTCTCTACTGGGTTTTATGCTCACCTCTATG